TTTACTTGTTATTTTTTATTTGCATATCACATAGTCTTATTTACGTTGGCTATATTTACATTTTGAATTAATCAAAATTATATAAAATAAAAAACAAGTAAGAACGTTGCAGACGGGCGTTACCGACTGCGGAATACTCATTCACATCCCATCAGCAATTTAGTAGCTAAATTTCGCTCTAATACTGAAGAAAATTCAGTTTTTCCCCATTTGCCACCCCCCTACTGGGCGTAGACACCTCATTTTTGGTCAGTTCTTAGAGCGAACTAACGATATCCCAACTTCAAAATTGATTGCTTACGCTTAAAAAATGTGAAAATTACAGGGTATTTTTCTATATTCCATGCCCCTAAAGAAGGGTCAAAATTATTTTTGGGTTACTGGTATAGTTTCAGATATAAACTTTTGCAGTTAAAAAATCACTATATCTTCAGGACCGATTTGCCACGCCCCTAATGGGCGTAGATATATAATTTTTATACTCTGAATTCATTTTCAATGGGAAATCAGGGTATAATAGTTTTGTTGAAATGTATGTAAAAGGAAGAAGGAGGCATGGCAGACCCCATAAATTATATACATTCTTGATCAGGACGACAAGCTGAGTTGATTTAGCCCTGTCCATCTGTCTGTCTGTCTATCTGTCAGTATGTTTGAACGCGTCGATCTCAGAAGATATAAGAGCTAGAGACTATATCAATTTTTTTTTATGTCCGTGAATACCACGCGGATATCGAGTTTTGCTTTAAAAGTCGATAACCTGTCTCGCTATTTTGTTATCGATTAAAAACATTATCGAAAACCCGTAATAAATTTATATCTGCTACATCTTTCAAGCTAGAATCGCCAAATTTTTAAATGTTATATGTTATATTTTATAAGTACTTTATAGAATGTTATATGTACTTTATAGAATTTCGAATTTTGTCAAAATTTACCCTCCATCCTTATATTCACCCCCTCACCGACATATATGTAAAAGGCTTATTTCAAATACTAGAGACTTGTGCTTTGGGAAATGCATGCATATCTTTGTTATAATCATAATCTAAAAGTGTCATTAAGATCGTCTATCGACAAAAAAAGTTATTGAACAATTAAGTTTTCAAAGTAAGCGCACACTGCAGCCCATGCGTGTTTAGGCGTGGGTGCCTGTGTGTGCGTGTGTGTGTGTGTTTCTTCTGTAAGCAGGAACACGCGAAATATGATTGAAATAGCTGTTGCTCGAAGGGTTCAGGGAATCTCGTAGTCGAGCAGTCTCGACTAGAGCTTTCTCATTTGTTGTCATTAGACTTTATAGAATCATTCCATTAGCTTACGTGTAAAATTTCAGCGTTCTAGCTGTAAAATTCTAGGAGATACAGTTTTACAGCTATTTTCCACGCCCCCAATAGGCGTAGATATATCACTTTCGTGAATGAGTATAATAATTCACTTTTGTGAATGAGTATAAAAACTAAATATAGCAAGTAAGAAAGTTCTAGTCGAGACTGCCGAATAGGAGATCGCTTTGAGGAACTGATATTTTACTATAATTCTTCGCATCTTTCTGCTTACACAAGAAGCACACACCTACACTCACCAGTCCATATAGGCACGCACGCATAAACACGCATGGGCTGCAGTCTGGGAATTTAATTGTTTAATAACTTTTCTTGTGGTAGGACTTTCTTCATGAAACTTTGAGATCCTGATAATAACTTTAAACTGTATTATACATTTTTATACTCATTCGCGAAAGTGAAATGAGTATATAGGATTTGTACAATGTCCGTCTTGTCCGTCCGTCAGTCCATCTGTCCGTCCGTCCGTCTAACAAAATTTAAAAACAATAAAAGTTTTCAGCGGTGTTCGAACCACGACAATCTATTCCCCATTGAGGCTTGGCGAATCGGCATTTGTAACGGATAGCTATGAAATTTATATGCGTGTGCCACTTAGGTATATAAATAAGCTGAATAGATGAAAGACATAAGACAAAAGGGAACATTTTTATGAAATTTAAAAAATATAATTAAATTATAATATTGAACTCGCACCATAACCAATAACATGTTTGTCAAAATAACTAAAGTGAAGACCACCGCCTTTGCCTACAGCACCACCGTCTCGCTTTTAACAATAGTAATTAAAAGAAAATCACATTAGTGCTTTTACGCCATGTAGAAAATAAAAGTCAGAGTAGCGGCTGGATTCTCATATAACGCTAGAGTACGCATTTTATGTACATACATAATATAATATGTATAAAAAAAAAAAAAAAAACGCATCAGAGAGGTTTAAACCCAGTCTACTTTAACACGACCTGCGTTGCCTTAACCATCCATGCCACCGATTCGCATCATTAGCTAGATGCTAAAATAAAATAACTTAATAACGGAGCATCATCTGACAAAACTACAGTAACGGCTAGAAAATCTAGAAATCAATCGCAACTCTTAGAATATGCTATGTTGCGTACTAGAGACATGAAAATTTCACTATATACGCGGGTTGACTGCGTTTGAGATGTGAACAAGTAAGTTGACCATCCGTCCTGGAATTCCGGGAATTATTCCGTTTTAGAAGATAATGCTCTGGTGTCCCGACCTGACACGAAATTGTTCCGGCTTTCTATTGTTTCGATAAAAAATAGGCATTTTCACAAAATGTACCTCTAAATGCAAAATTGAAGAAGTTTTTATCGAGACAAGTGAAGAATTTTTTGTATCTTTTTTTTACCGGATTGGGTGCGCTAAAAACCTATCCGTATTTCACATTATTATATTCTATTTGATGCCTATAAACAGCCATTTTAAAGTTTAACCAAATTTAAATGTATTTAGAG